TGAGGAGTTACTATATATTTTTTAAAATAATGTAAAAATGTGAGGGCTCGGGGGTGGGGCTGGTGATGAGGGGTTTGGGATGTGGGAGGGGGCTCAGGGCTAGGGCAGAGAGTTGGGGTGAGGGCTCTGGGAGTGGGGCAGGGCTGGGGATGAGGCGTTTGGGGTGCAGGCAGGCCAGAGAGGAGGACTCCCCCCAGCCCTCTCCTTGCAGGTAGCAGCGAGCTCTGGGGGAGGGGGCCCCCCACTTCCCCCCTGCACCACATTCACCTCACACCACTGTCAGTGCATGTGCTCCTAAGGCCCCTCTCAGGTCCAGGAAGCCCCCTCGCCTCCCCTGTGGTGGGTGCCAGGAAGGGGGCTGCCATCACATGTGTGCCTCCTCCCCTGCTGCTGCCCCTCACTGTAGTCTCTCTCAGGGTGGGGATTGGGGCTACCCCTTGTCCAGCGTGGGGCAGGAGCGGTGACTGCGGGTGGTGGGCCCCCCTGTGCTGGTGGAGGATCCCACCAGAAAATGAAAGGGTCTGAGGCAGACGGGCAGGCTCAGGGTCAGTCTGCCCTGGCAGCAGTGGATGGGGGGCACTAGGACCCTGCGGCGGCAGTTGATGCCCGGAGCCAGCAGAGCGGAGAGGCAGCGTGGAGCTGCAGGGGAGAGGCAGGGACGCTCCCGGGCCTGGGGGAGGCGCAGGGGCAGCAGGCGGGGACGGGAGAGAGACCTGGCCCTGAACATTGGTGGTGCCGGGCCCTGAATATTGCTGGGGCCGGGCACCATGGGCCCACATAACTCGCCGCCCCTGGCAGCACTGTCTTACCCCTGTTGTACATGGGGATGGTCATATCAGTGAGTCTGTGACTGCCATGCTCACAAAGGTGTGAGGCACAGTCCGGCACGTGTAACAAAAATATATTAAGCTCCTTTCACACATTGTCGTGTTGTGGCTCAGCACAGGTGCAGAGCGCAGGGCTGATCTTGCTCCAAAGCATCCAGAAGTAGGGTGGGGCAGTTACCAGACATGCTCTGTATTTGTTTCCAAAGCTGCATCAGATGTTTTCATTGCAGGCCAGCCACCAGGCCCGGCCGCTCCTTCTTTACTCACCTGAGAGCTGAGGCAATCAGCGCTAGGAGGGGAGACAGGTGTTTACGACAGCCCCGTGTCACAGAGTCACAGTCTCCGTGCTCTGGAGCTGCTATGAATGAAGCCAGGCAGGACTCTGGTGCAGTGTGTCTCCCCTCGGAGCACACTCTCACCAGGGCAAGAAGCTTCCTGGGTCTGACCTTGTAGTATTCGGCACCCCTGTTCACACCGCGAGTCCACCTGGATGGGACACCTGGGGAAGCCTGACACGCCCCTCACAGGGGCCGTGCACCCCACCTCCACAGTCAGCTGTGACTCTCAACCGGCTTGGAAAACAGACGGGTTTATTGGTCGCTGGGAACACAGCTTGTTAGCACAGAAATCAGGAGCATCCAGCAAAGTCCATCTGGGGGAGAATCCAGAGTCCCGAGCCCTGGACTCTCCCCGCTGAGTCCCAAACCAGGAGGCTGACCCGCTTCCAGCCCCCCATCCTCAGTGACACCCAGCTGCCCCTTCTCCATGCTTTCTCTTTTCCCCAGGAAAACAGGTCACCTGGCCTCCCCCTCTCTGATTGTTCTCCAACACCTTCGGCTGGTTCCTTGCAGCGGACGGGCTCCAGCCATCTCTTGCCAGGATACAGAGTGTCGGCCATTCTCTGTGCCTAGGCAGCCAGTCTGCAGTCACCCCTGCTCTCTAGGGATGTCCACAATCATCACACACCCATATCCCACCCCTGATACTTGAGTAACACATGGGGAAACGGAGGCACACACAGTATTCAGAAAAAACATTAAGAACATTCCTGCTTCCTCATACCCCTCTGAGACCAGACCAGCCCCTAGGATACCTGAGCCTGCAGGTGATGGAGAGACCTGGGGAAAGGGCTGGAGCTGGGCAGGAAAATGACTCTGCACAAAGGGCCCCTTTCAGGGACTGGCTGGTGAGTTTGGCCTACAAGGGGAGGGGCTCCCTGTGTCTGGGAGTCCCAGAGCTGCTGCCCTCAGTGACACAGCCGGGTTCAACCCCCGTTACCAGTGTCAGAGGCTGAGCTGCCTAATGAGAGCAAAGGCCCACGACAATGGGGCAGTCGCCCGTTCTCCCAGGGCGAGGGAAGAAGATGAAAAGGGAGAGCGGAGAGACTTGAAGGGCAGCAGGAGCAAGAAGTGGGGAGGGAGGTTCCCAGCTCCCAGCCCTGCCCAGATCCATTCCCTGCACCCCCGGGGCAGTCAGCTCTCCTGGGAACAAGGGGAGGAGCTGAGAGAGGAAAAGCCAGTTGCTCACTCTGCTGAGCACCACACTACTGAGGGAGACGGGGGAGAGCTAGAGGGGTTACAATACACTGTGGGGCAGTACCCTAAAGTGACTCCTTTTTCCAGCATTTGGCTCAGAGATGCTGTTACTGGGAGGTTTAAAAGGGTTCGTGGAGGGTTTAGTTCTGCTGGGAGGGGCCTGGACTGTGTGGTAATAAACTAACCGGGTTTGTTCCCAGCATGGCAGAGTCCAGAGCATCTGTCTGCAGGGAGAGAGCCTGGGGGGAATCGGGGTGTGATTTGGACTCAAGTCCCTTCTGTAACCTCCCCCATCATCCCTCTCGCCCCCACAGGCTGAGGAAACACATCTAGACTTTGCTCCAGATCATCCCATCTTCCAGGGGACAGGGAAGGAAAATGGCTGTGATGGAGCCAGCTCAGGTAGGGGATTTTCTGGGAGCTGCTGGATGAGGTGAGGGAGAGGCAGGGAGGAAAAGGGTGTGATAAACATTCCCCCATTTCTAAAACAGGACCCAACCCCTCTGGGCAGGGCTGGGCAAACTGACCAGACTCCCACTGCTGGAGCCTAAACCCACTGGCCAGAGGCTGCTGTGAAATATGAAGGGAAGCTGTTGGGATTCCTGTCCCTGCCCCTGGCTCAGAGCTCTGCTTCCCATATCAGCCTGTGGCTGGCAGGCGTGTGGGAAATGAGAAGACCCTGCTCTGCTCCGTGTGCTGGGGGGTACAAGGAGCTCTCACCTTCTACCCACTCCCTGAAACTTCCTGGCTTCCCTGAACAGGGTGGGGATGAGTTTCTGCTTCTCCGGCCCTCCCAGAGCTTCAATGTTTTGTTTCCCCTCCTCCTCTCCCCCGTGACTAGTGGATTCTGGCTGCAGCAGCACGTAGTTAGTGTGGGACTCTTGTTTCAGATGCCGGTGACCTTCGAGGAGGTGGCTGTGTATTTCACCCAGGGGCAGGGGGCTCTGCTGGACCCCGCTCAGAAAGCCCTCTACAGTGACGTCATGCAGGAGAACTATGAGACGGTGACCTCGCTGAGTAAGGGATTCCCATCACCTCGGGTATTAGAAGCCGTGGAGTCTGCATGTCTGAATCTGGTCAGGTTCTTCCCTGGTCTGTTGGATTCGGGGGGACGGTCACATAGTCCACAGCTGCAGTGAGAGGGAGACTTTCATCTCCATACCCCATTCAAGGGAACAGGAGAGTCAGAAACCTAATGGACAGGCTCATTCATCCCCATCTCTCCAGCTTTCAAGGGGCCAGAAGCAGGGTGTTGTCCTGCCTGTGTTATTTCTCCTTCACACACTGTTCACCGGCCCTCTTGGGACTAGCTTCAGCCTTGGGGAGGGCTCTCGATTCTACAGGCTTGGAAATAGGCAGGAACTTAGCACCTGAGTTGTGTGTGTGTCAGCGAGTCCCTGCAGTACATCTATCCTGAGAACTCCGAGTGAGGGTATAACCACACCCTTGTGCCTCCAGATTTCTGCTTCTCCCAAAGAGTCTGGGCTACCACAGTCCCATATAGGGTCAGGTTAAATTCAGGGAATGTTCCTAATGGCAAATACTTTACCAGTGCTCCCTGTGCCCTGACCTTGCCTGATTTCACCCCCTGCGCAGGATTCCCCATTCCCAAACCTGACCTGATCGCCCGGCTGGAACGAGGGGAAGAGCCGTGGGTCCCGGAGCTCCAGGACTCCAAGGAAAGGGAGAGCCCGAGAGGCACCCGCACAGGTGAGGAGTCAGCGAAACTGACAAAGAAACATCTGACGAGTGAAGGAAAAAGCTGGGACTCCCAAAATGTGCAGTGAGTTAAAGCCCTCAGTTCTGCTGCAACTCACCCAGGTCAGGGCTGCAGTCAGCAGGTGTCATAGCATCAAGTCAAATATCAGTCCTGGCTTCCCACCCATCCTGTTAGCTGTCGGGAATTTCCTTCTTGACTTTACTTCCCTGGGAATGTTTGGGTGGGATGTGGAGGCAGAATTCAATGTCTCTATCTCCCCAACAGTCACTGTGTTGTGTCTTCCCTCTTTGATATTCCCCTTTCTGTCCTTTCCCCCCAGCACAGGCAGTGACTCCTGTCTGGATTCTCTCTCTCCCAGCAGGTGATAGGACAGTGAGTGAGAACAAGGAGGAGAATCAGCAGCAGGAAGGTCCTGGAAAAGTGGAACTGCAGGAGACATTTTTGAGAAGAGCTGAAGGGAATTTTTCCCAGGGCTTGGAACAGGGAAATGCCTGGGGAGATCGACATAGATCAGAGATGCAGCTGGGAAACTATCCCGGGAAGAAACTGGATGAATCCATTCAACGTGGCAGAGGATGCAAGGATCCCAAGGAAACCGCAGTCCAGCAGACAAGTCACAATGAAGAGAAACCCTACGAATGCCTTGACTGTGGAAAAAGATTCCGTTTTAGTGCAAAACTTAGTACACATCAGAGAACCCACACAGGAGAGAAGCCCTATAAATGCTTGGACTGTGGGAAAAGCTTCAGTAAGAAGCCAAGTCTTATTATACACCAGAGACCCAATACATGCCTTGACTATGGAAAAAGTTGTAGCAAAAGTTCATCCCTTATTAAAAATGTGAGAATCCACACAGGAGAAAGTCCCTATAAATGCCTTGAGTGTGGGAAAAGTTTCCATTTGAAATCAACCCTTAATATGCATCAGAAAACCCACATGGGAGAGAAACCCCATAAATGCTTGGACTGTGGGAAAGCTTTCAGTCAGAATTCATACCTTATTGAACATAGGAGAATCCACACAGGAGAGAGACCGTATAAATGCCTTGAGTGTGGGAAAAATTTCATTTGTCGTTCACACCTTGCTAAACATAGGAGAATCCACACGGGTGCCAAACCCTATAAATGCCTCGACTGTGGGAAAAGTTTCATTGACAGTACAAAACTTATTAGACATCAGGCAATCCACACAGGAGCGAGACCTCATAAATGCTTGGACTGTGGGAAAAGCTTCATTCAGAAGATACACCTTATTACACACCAGAGACTGCACACAGGGGAGAGACCCTATACATGCCTTGAGTGTGGGAAAAGTTTCAATTTGAAATCAACCCTTAATACACATCAGAAAACCCACACAGGAGAGAAACCGCATAAATGCTTGGACTGTGGGAAAACTTTCGGTCAGCGCTCACAGCTTACTAAACATAGGAGAATCCACACAGGAGAGAGACCGTACAAATGCTTTGGGTGTGGGAAAAATTTCATTAGCCGCTCACACCTTATTAAGCATCAGAGAATCCACACAGGTGCCAAACCCTATAAATGCCTCGACTGTGGGAAAAGTTTTGTTGACAGAACAAAACTTACTAGACATCAGGCAATCCACACAGGAGAGAGACCCCATAAATGCTTGGACTGTGGGAAAAGCTTCAGTAAGAAGTCAAACTTTATTAGGCACCGGAGACTGCACACAGGAGAAAAACCCTATAAATGCCTTGAGTGTGGGAAAAGTTTTAGTCAAACTTCAAACCTTATTGCACATCAGAGGACCCACACAGGAGAGAGACCCTATAAATGCCTTGAGTGTGGGAAAAGTTTCAGTTTGAAATCAACCCTTAATACACATCAGAAAACCCACACAGGAGAGAAAACCCATAAATGCCTTGACTGTGGGAAAGCTTTCAGTCAGAGCTCACAGCTTACTAAACATGGGAGAATCCACACAGGAGAGAGACCGTATAAATGCCTTGACTGTGGGAAAGATTTCATGGAAAGTTCATCCCTTACTAAACATAGGAGAATCCACACAGGAGAAACACCCTACAAATGCCCTGAGTGTGGGAAAAGTTTTAGTCAGAGCTCACACCTTATTGCACATCAGAGAATCCACACAGGATTACGACCCCATAAATGCCCTGAGTGTGGGAAAAGTTTCATTTGCCGTTCAAACCTTATTAAGCATCAGAGGATCCACACTGGTGACAAATCCTATAAATGCTTCAATTGTGGGAAAAGTTTCCTTGACAGAACAAAACTTATTACACATCAGGCAACCCATACAGGAGAAAGACCCCATAAATGCTTGGACTGTGGGAAAAACTTCATTCAGAAGTCACAACTTATTAGACACCAGAGAGTGCATACAGGAGAGAGACCCTTTAAATGCTTTGACTGTGGGAAAGCTTTCAGGCAGCACTCACACCTTATTACTCATCAGAGAATCCACACAGGCGACAAACCCTATAAATGCCTTGACTGTGGGAAAAGTTTTGTTTACAGAACAAAACTTACTGATCATCAGAAAACCCACACGGGAGAGAAACCCCATAAATGCTTGGACTGTGGGAAAACTTTCAGTCAGCGCTCGTACCTTACTCGACATGGGAGAATCCACATGAGGGAGAGACCTTATAAATGCCTTGAGTGTGGGAAAAGCTTCAGTAAGAGCTCGGAGCTCACCAAACATCAGAAAATCCACAAAGGTGAGAGACCCCAGCAATAGCCTGACTGCAGAAGATGATTCAGCTCGACTTCACACATCAGTGATCCACAAAACAGAGAGACCTTGAATGTGGGAGAAGCTTCATTAGGTGCTCCTGGAGTATCAGGCATCTGCAAATCCGCACAGGGAAGAAACCTCTGAGATGTTCTCAGTGTGGAAAATGCTCCAAGTAGAGCTGACATCAGAGACTCCTTCACACAGCAGGGACATTCTCTGAGTGTCCTGATGAGGGCTGGCCATGGTGACAAACCCATTTTCTCATTCCCACACACATCAGGGGCATTTGACTCCCAAGGATCCAGCTGCCCATCGCTGGGGTGAGGATCCAGCAGCAGCTGAGCAGTGAGGCTAGAAGTGAAGCTGGTTTAGCCACTTCACAAGAAAATGAGTACATTTATTTTCCTGATTTTGAGTCTTAAAAGATTCTTTGAGATTTCACTTTATGAATGTGAATGTATTTTATAGCTCACCCTGGACTGTGGGTTTTTCTCTCTTTGTGAAGGCCGTGAGGTCACGTACTTTGATATTAGTTTAGTTTGACAGGATGTAGCTCAGGTTTATTGAGGACTGAAGGAAACACATGATCGTTTGTTGGGATCGTCCTTTTTTAGATTTTATTTTAATTTTTATCTAACGCTTTGTCTTGAGATATTTTTGTGTGGTTTGAACAATGACAGTGTCAGTATCTCTCAGCACAAACACGGATGGTGCGAGCTAGATTCAGAATGCAAGAGGCAGAGACTGAAATGGAGACTAAAGTTACTGCCTGATCCCTGCAGTGATGTGAGATACTGCTGGGAGGGGAAGAAGGCAGGAACAGCGGAGCTGGGAAACTGCTGGGTTCGCTCCTGAGAGCCCGACGGCTGAGGCTGAGAACTGTGAACTCGCTGCATCACAGCCACATAGCGACTACACTTAGCTTGTCAGTTTCATGTGAAGCTGCCCCTGAAATCTAAAGGACCATGAATGACACCCCAAAAATGATAGGGGAAGGAGTCAGCATCTCCCCGATGCTGAGGTTGGGCGCAGGCAAGAAGGGAGCCTAGGATGTCAACAGACCGGGGCAGCCTTGAAGTCAGGCCGACCCCCATCGATAAGCCCGGAGTCCGACCAGGTGATCGATCCGCTGGTGCCGGCCGACACCCAAAGCACCGCACCGGCCTCCTCACCCTGTCCGGAGGAGCTGATTGTGGTCCCGCCCCCTTCCGTTCCGCAGGAGGACTACTGGGCCCACCAAGAACTCTTAAAAAGGGTGGCAGCGAGCCTCCACCTCCAGGCAGAGGAGATGGAGGAGCCCTCAGACTCCCTGTTCAATGTGCTGTCCCCCTCGGCACCGGGAAGGGTGGCCTTGCCGCTCCAAGAAGGGGTGGCAGGGATCTCAAATGCCCTGTGGCAAACACCAGCCTTGTTGGCTCCCATCTCTAAGAAGGCGGAGCGCAAGTACTTTGTATCCACTAAGGGGCACGAGTATTTGTATACCCGCCTTGTATACTCCTTGGTGGTCGAGTTGGTCAACCACAGGGAACAGCAGGCAGTAGCCAGCCCCGACCCCTAAGACCAAAGACTCTCGGAGGCTGGATGCTTTCGGGAGAAAAGTTTATTAGTCGTCAAGCTTCCAGCTAAGAGTAGCAAACCATCAGGCACTCCTGGGTTGCTATGAGTTTAATCTCTGGGGATCCCTCTCCAAGTTCGAGGACTTCCTCCGGGAGCACGATACAAAAGAGTTTAAGACACGAGTGGAGGAAGGGGCAGTGGCCGCAAGGGCATCCCTGCAGGCCACTTCGGATGCAGCGGACACGGCCGCACGGTCCATGGCCTCGGCGGTGTCCATGAGATGGGCATCCTGGCTCCTGCTCTCTGGGCTATCCAGTGAAGCGCAGTCATCACTGCAGGATCTCCCTTTCGATGAAAGGCACTGTTTGCGAAGGAGACAGACACAAGGCTGCACGGCATGAAAGACTCCCGCACGACCCTCCAGACCTTGGGCCTCTATGTCCCTACTCTGGCAAAACCCATGTTCAAGCCACAGCAGGCTCCCACCCAGGCCGCCTTCCCGAAATACGAGGCCGCCCAGAAGAAGCAGCGGGACTATAAAAAACGCCTGCAAAGGCAGTATGAGCCTGGGTCCTCTAAGGGCAAGCAGGGGGGTAAAAGGCATTTTTGACGAGACGCTTGGGGGCTGGACGACTGGCTGGTCAAGGGCACCTCCCGATCACAGGTGAGGGATCATGTGGCACTCCTCCTGTCCACATGCACCGCCCTGGGCCTGTTGATAAACAACACCAAGTCCACGTTAATCCTGGTCCAACGCATAGAGTTTATCAGGGCGCTCCTGGACACAACGCCGGCCAAGGCCTCTCTCCCCCCGGACAGGTTTGAGACCCTGACAGGGCTCATCGACTTGATCGCAAGGTTCCCGGTGATGACAGCCAGGGCTTGCCTGCAGCTGCTAGGTCACATGTCGGCTGGCACGTATATGGTCCGCCACGCCAGACTCAGGATGAGGCCCCTCCAGCTCTGGCTGACCTCGCAGTTCTCCCAGGCCACGGACAGAATGGACAAGGTTCTCACCATGCCGAACTCAGTGATCACTTCCCTGCGGTGGTGGTTCGCCCCAAGCAACATGCTCCAAGGGGTCCCATTCAGGGAAAGGGCCCCGTAGTTGGAGCTGGTGTCCGATGCATCGGTCCTGGGCTGGGGGGGATTTTCATATCTAAGGCCGGCGGTCTCTGCAAGACCTGACCCTTCACATAAACGTCAAGGAACTCAGGGCAGTGCGGCTGGCGTGTATGGCCTGCTGCTCACACCTGAAGGGCAAGGTAGTCAGGATTCTCACGGACAACATGGCCTCGATATTCTATATCAACAGGCAAGGCGGGGCCTGATCCTCTGCCCTCTGCCACAAAGCCCTCAGTCTGTAGGACTTCTGTATAGCCCACGACATCCACCTAAAAGCCTTTCACCTGCCGGGCACTTAGAACGTGAGGGCGGATTGCTTGAGCAGGGACTGCTCCTCTCAGCACGAGTGGTCTCTACACCCGGAAGTGGCCCACCAGCTCTTCTGAAGGTGGAGAATTCCCCAGGTGGACCTGTTCATGACCCGGCAGAACCGACAATGCCCTTGGTTCTGCTTCAGGGGGGGCCTAGGGAAGGGCGTCACTCCTACGAAGTGGTCTCGGTTTTCTAGGTGGACAACGGACCAAGGTGTGTCCCCAACGGCCGCCCCGATCCAGCTTATCCTTGATTACCTCCTCCGCCTGAGGGCCCAGGGCCTGGCACCCTCGTCAGTCAGGGTGCACCTATCGGCCTTCCATCCTCTGTGTGATGGACACTGTGTTCTCCCATGGTATGACTGGCCGGTTTCTTAAGGGTTTGGACTGTCTTTACCCATATTCTAAGCCCCTGGTCCCGCAATGGGACCTGAATCTGGTGCTGACTCATCTTACGACGCCCCTGTTTGAACCGTTAGCCACATGTTCCTGGTCTCACCTCTCGTGGAAGGTGGCCTTCCTGGTTGCTATCACGTTGGCCAGGCGGGTCTCGGAGCTCAGAGCCCTGACCTCCGAGCCACCGTATACGGACTTAAGGACAAGGTCCAGCTCCGCCCACACCCCGCGTTCCTCCCGAAGGTGGTTTCCACCTACCACATTTTTCTACCAGTCCTCTGCCCCAAGCCCACGTGACTAGTGAGGTGTGCTGTCGCCACACACTCGATGTGAGGCGGGCTCTGGCTTTCTACCTTGAGCAAACCAAGCTGTTCAGAAAGTCCTCACAACTGTTCGTCGCCTCGGCTGAGCACGCAAGAGGCCAGCCGATTTCCACTCAGCGGCTTTCCAACTGGATCACCTCGTGCATCCTCTCCTGTTATGAGCTGACGGGTGTCCCCCCGCTGCCCATTGTGAGGGCACACTCGACGATGGCGCAGGCCTCACCGGCTGCCTTCATGGCCCACGTCCCTATACAGGACATTTGTAGGGCCGCCACGTGGTCTTCAGTTCACACGTTCACCTCGCACTATGCGATAGTCTCCCAAACCAGGGATGATGCCGGGTTCGGCAGGGCGGTACTCCATCCTGGGAACTTGTGAACTCCTACCCACCTCCAACAGATATAGCTTGGAATCACCTACTGTGGAATACACATGAGCAATCACTCAAAAAAGAAAAGACAGTTACCTTTTCATAATTGGTGTTCTTCGAGATGTGTTGCTCATGTCCATTCCACATCTTGCCCTCCTTCCCCTCTGCCAGAGTTGTCTGGCAAGAAGGAACAAAGGGTGGGGGGAATGGGCAGCTCCCCTTATACCGCGCCAGGCAGGCACCACTCCAAGGGTCGCGGGGGGTGCTCCCCCCCTACGGGTACTGCTAGGGGAAAAACTTCCGGCACTGGTGCACATGGCGAGCGCGCTCACCTACTGTGGAATAGACATGAGCAACACATCTCAAAGAACACCAGTCTTTTATCTGGCCATCCACCAATAGGAAGAAAGGGGTAAACAAAGAAATTTACAATTCATCTGTAGGACACTTTGGAGCTCACGTACGCCATGGAGTTGCCTGACCCCAAGACCCAGCAAAGACTTTTCCAGTATAAAGGGTCGGCGTATGAGAAGGAGGAAAAAATGCCTCTGGCCATCTCCCCTTCCCTATTTCAATTCATGGCAGCAAGATACCTTGAATTTGCATCACTGAACTCGGGGGAGTGGTCCTGGATGGAGGGCTTTCCAGTGAGTTCGGGCTCCTGAATGCTTTTGGGTGAGAGAAATCCTTTTGCTTATGGCGGTACGTCTATACACCAAACCTAAGTCGATCTATATTAGGTTGATTTACAGCCACCACAGTAATTACTGAGGTAGCCAATGTCCCCACTATCCTCCTTGGGTTGGTAGCATGCACCTGGGGCTTCTCCCCTACACATACACAGTTCCCCTCCCACACCTTGTTAAACATCAGAGACCCCATAAGTCTCTGGACAGGAGAGAGACCCCATAAGTGCTTGGGCTGTGGGAAAAGTTCCATACACGGGTCAAACCTTGTTAATCATCAGGCAATCCATACAGGAGAGGGACCCCACAAGTGCTTGGACTGTGGGTAACGATTCAGACACAGAACACTCTTGTTTCACATCAGAGAATCCACACAGGAGAGAGACCCCAGAAGTGCTTGGACTGTGGGAAAGGTTTCATACGGAGGTCAGACCTCATTAAGCATGGAAGAATCCATACAGGATCTAAATTTCTGTCACACATGGTAATAAAGGGTTAAGCAACTTGCATGCAATTGACTCAGATTTAACTTTTAGAGAGATATTTTAAGTGTGTGTCCACCTTAGATAAGCTTTGAAATGTAAACGTGTATTATTAAAGAGTTGGAAGAAGAGGGGTAACTGTAGTGGTCTATGTTTAGCTATATCTTGTTAGAGGTTAACAATTTATCCCAAGGCTTCCTGTATTCTGTTAATTCAGGGATCAATAATTCAGAGATTATACCCATCGCCCCTGCGACCTGCCGAATTCTAGCTCAGTCTCATTGAATTCGCTGGGGGTAGGGGCTGAAGGATGGAGGGAATGTTTATAGCTGAAATCACCAAAATGTGTTTTGCAAGGTTAATGTTAATGGGATCCGTTCCGCTCTCCTGCTCGGACATTTTCTCTGGAGATCCTGGACACAGAAAAGAGCAGGCGATACCATCATGGCTACCAATCCCAATGGTGACTATCTACAGTAGCAATTCTCAAGCTATGGGGCAGGCCTCCCAAGGGAGATACAGAAATGTGTCAAGAGAAGCGTGACCTCTGTGGGTTGTTTGGGTTTTCTTTAAAGAGCACTGGCTGTCGGCCCCAGGTGGCTGGGGCTCATGAAGAAGCACAGGCCTACCTGCGAGGTGGGTATAAATGCTCAGGCTCTCAAACCCAGCTGGAGCAGCAGCACAGAAGTAGGGGTGTCAATGGGGTGATAAATCTGCTGTGAACAGCGATACTGAAGAATATCACTTTTCACGTGGCCACCCTAACTTCTGTGCTGCTATTAGAGGCCTTCGGAGCTGGGCGCCTCACCAGCAACTACTCTGCCGTTAGAGCTGGGTGGCGATATATGTGCTTGTGAGGGTGGGGGCGTAAATGACCACAGACACAAAGAAGGGAGGGCCCAATGAAAAACATTTGAGAACCGCTGGTCTACACTATTATGATCACCACGTTTACAAAATGATAGATCTTCTCCAAAGTACATCTTGTGAGGTGTTATAGGAAAAGTCAGCGTCTGCTGAATATTATTGTCCCGTTAAAATGTGTCTATCAGCACTGTCCATGGAGCTCTGAGAGTTTGCTGTATGTTTGTTACTTGCTGTAAAGCTGGAAAACGCCCACAGACGAGCTCCTCGGAGACAATGTCACCTGCACACCAGCTAGGTGCTACGTGGCCAGTAATTGCTCAGCCGCCCATTTACCAGCTGTGGAGCTGGGAACAAGAGAGTTACAATTCACCGGAAGGACGGCTGGACGCTCACTTAGGCCACAGACTGATTGTCACCTGCCCCCCGGCTGGGGGGTGAACCTCAAAGAGGAGAGTGGTATGAAAGCACAAGGGAGAATTGCCTCCATTTTTACCTCTCCTCTCCCATCTTTACAGAAGGCAACAAGATGGCTTGAAAGGCAACAGGGGCCTTGGACTGGGGAGGGTGGATCAAGGCTGGAAGGAAATCCAGGCTGGGTACTAAGAACTGTCAACTGCCTGCAACAGCGGGTGGGGTGAGAAAACCTGTTTGCTTCATATCTTCCTAAGCTTGATAAAATTTAGGATTTAAAATGCATATTTTAATTTTATTTTTTAACCAATTCTGACCTTTTACATCTTTCTCCCTTGTAATCCCTGAAAGCCCCCTTGCTCCGGTTACTAAACTGGTTTTAGTGTTTTGTCTGGACCTGTGTGTTTTCATGGAAGTATTTGGAGGATTTGACTGGAGAGAACAAGGCTGTGGCCTAATCCGACCCCTTTGTGGGGGTGACCCACTAATTACTGAGTTTGTCCAGCCACAGCGAACAGACTGAGCAGTCCAAGATGCACTTTCCTGGGGTGTAAGGCTGGGAGTAGAAAACTGGCTGATGTTGCTGTGTCATTTGGTACGTTCCTGAGTGTCTGGCTGGTCGCACTCAGTACAGTGCAGCCAGGAGTGATTGTGAAGGCTGGTGGCTGTGTGGGAGCAGAGCGTGGAGGGGTTTGTTGTTCACACAGGGCAGCAGTGTAAAACATGCCCTGGGATGGAGAATTAAGCAGTTCAACTGTCCAGATTGTACCCTGGGGTATGTCTCACACCGACTGTCTCCTGCAACCCAGCATGGCACCGTTGGGCTTTCATCATCCTGATCCTGAAAGGCAAGTTACGCAGGGCAAACTAGAGAAGGGGAACCAGCCGACATCCTCAACTGCTTTGGCTAAATCCTGAATTCCCCCTGGGATGTGACACTTGAAATTCTGCTGCCAGCCTTCCCCTCATGCGTCTGTTTCCTTCCCACGCATCTAAACTATTATGCCACCCTCCCTCCCCCTTTCTACTCTCTCCCCTACAAATCTGGCCCAGCCAGCTGAGACAACCAGACGTTTTGCACCAGTGCCGGTAGCCTGTGACCAGAGAGGCAGGTTAAAGCAAGGCCTTAGCCAGCCCAATACGGAGAGAAGTTTGCCACAGATGGGCTGATCAGCCAGCGGCCTGTGCCCGGGTTTGTTCTGCAGGGAGGCTGCAAGCGAGACTGAATGCTGACAGGAGAAGTTTCTATGCAGGATGTCCCCCTAATGCTGGGAGAAGCTGCCCGAGCCCAGGGGCGGTGGGTTCCCAGGGGCCAGGGTCTGGGACAGGGGGCTGCAATGCAATGGGTTTATCGCTAGGACCCAGGAGCGGCTGGGGGAGTGATCGCTGGCTGGGCTCAGGCCCGGCAGCAAGAAGTGACTCTGGAAGTAGGATCGCTTGAAAGACAATAGGAGCATCATTGAACTAGGGAGAGTGGTCCTAGCTGGAAGGCTTTCCCGTGAGTATGGACTACTGAAACCTCTTGGGTGAGAGAAATCCTTTTGCTTGTAAGGGTACGTCTACACACCAAACCTAAGTCAACCTATATTAGGTTGACTTACAGCTACCAGAGTAATTACTGCGGTAGGCGATGTCCACGCTACCCTCTTTGGGTTGGGGGACCTGACCTCACCAGAAGCGCTTCCACCGACCTAAAAGGGGCCGTGTGCAGAGCTGAGAGCCTGATCTCTCAGCTCCTGCCGTTGCTCCCTCCCAGGAGCCTGGCTGCCCCAGAAGCTCAGGGTGGGCTGCCCCCCCCCACTCCCTGTTCTCTGTCCCCCACCACACCCACCTGCTGTCATAGGCGTCGACTCCGTGGGTGCTCTGGGGCTGGAGCAGCCACAGGGAAAAATGAATGGGTGCTCTGCAACCACTGCTCCCCTTCCCCCCCGCCCCACCTCCTCCCGCCCTGAGCGCACCGCCTACCTCCTAGCGCTTCCCGCCCGACCACTGTCAAACAGCTGTTTGGTGGCTTTAGCATGCCCTGGGAGGGAGGGGGAGGAGCGGGAACATGGCGCGCTCAGGGGAGGAGGCGGGGAAGAGGTGGGACTGGGACTGTGATTTGGGGAAGGGGATGGAATAGGGGCCCCTCCCAGTTTGACACCGGACCATTGATAACTACTCTGTCTTTCAACCAGTCTTTCAACCTGTTGTGCATCCACCTTATAGTTATTTCATCTAGACCAATGAATTTGTCCCTGCTGGTCAGAACTGAGTCTAACCCGGCTGCCCCCTGCTTACTTCCCCCGCCTTTGGAAAGCTGAAGTTGTCCCCGATGCATTCCCAGCACTTATTGCACATTGGGTGCTATGAGGGTGGCCAGGTGCCCAGTTTTTGACTGGAAAGTCCAGTCGAAAAGGGGACCAGACAGTGTCTAATCAGATCTATTGACCAGACACCCAAAATCAAGTTACTGCAGGTGGGGAGGCACTGGG